AAATAAATAATGTTCTGTCTAACTGTATTCCATTAAAGAATACTGCAAAAAATGTATCAAGTTTTCCACATTCCACCATATTAGAAGGATTTCTGAAATTCATGTGACACTGAAAATTGGTGTAATTCCTGCTAAAAATGTGACTTTGCCATCACAAAATAAATTACATGTTAAAAATGTATTAAAATAGAAAACAGCTATTTTAAATTGTAAATATTATTTTACAATATTACTGTATTTACAGTATTTTTGATACAAAAATGCAGCCTTGGTGAGCATAAGAGATGACTTGCAAAACAATAAAAAAAAATCTTACCGACCCTAAATGTTTGAATGGTAGTGTATATTCAAATAAAATGTTTGTATGTATACAATTTGCTGATTTTATTTCAGAGAATTGGGTTTCATGCATTACTACATCTCTTGATGTCTGTTCTTCTCTCGTCTCTCCAAATATCTTTGTAGATCAACATGACTTTGCCCCTAATAAAGGTCTAATAGCTCTACTGCTGCTTGGGATTCCTGGAGGAATCTGCTTCTGTTGCAGAAAGAGAATCTGCAAAAGGTGCCGGACATCTAAATCATACACACAAACAGGGCAGTCCAACACCGAACCAGTGTCTATACCTTGCAGCAACACTGTGACTGTTCCTGTTGGTCCTGGAGACCCTGGCCAGGTAAAATAGAGTCTGTCTCTCTTCCTGCACTTTCCTGTCCATTTTCTACTATCATGTAAACAAAAAAGGCAAACAAAATCAATAAAGAACAAAAAAACACTTTGTAAACTCTTTGTGACAGAACCATGCTAAGCAACATTAGAATAATCTAGTGATTGTAGCTGGTGTACATTGTAATTCCTATTAAGAGTTTGTTGTTTCTGACTAAAGGGCTACAACGCTGGTTATCCGCCTCATCCAGATCAAGGTCAGATTCATTATCCTTATCCACCAGAGTCGAGCGGACAACCTGCTGTTCCTCCTAACCCTGTGAGTTCACACACACTGAGATTGACAGCAGATCCTTCGACCCAAAGTGACAAATATGGAATGTTACAAAAAGTTCATCCTGAGGTGGCAGCAACTTTTGAAACTTTTCAATACAAGTTCCAAATTGTTTAATTAGCTCTAGAATGGCAGAATGGGAAAATAATGCAGGTTTTTTAAAAGTTTATTCAAGACAAAGGGATTCATCTAATACATGTTTACATAAAAAAACTATGTAAAAGCAAGCAGTGGAATGCAAAAACATGTTCTGTGTGCACAGTCCCTAAGACCAACATGAATTGTGGTTTGGTTTTTAGCTGGTGGGCCAGTATAGCCATGCAAAACTTAATTCCAACATTCGGGATTAAAAAAAAAAAAAGCAAAGAGTTTTTATTTTTATTTTTATGTAAAAATCAATCTTGTACATGGTCTGTTTTTAAGGGCTTTTATCCTGAGTATGTGCCTCAAAACCCTGTCTATCCTCCTGACTTTGGACCTGGACTTCCCCCTGCTCAGCCGCCCCCGTGGAATGCCCCTCCGCCCCAGTATAACCCTTCTGCACCTGTGGTACATCCAAAATCTTTGGCAAATCTCTTTGCTTTTCATTTATTTCTATGTGTTTATTTGTAATGTAATGTGTAAAGATAAAAGCGATTTAAAATGCATTAATGGTTCTGAAGGGGACAACACAGGGTTAAGTGTTTGCAATTCTACTAATATTTGTCTTTCTATCAATTTTTTAATCAATGTACATTTACTATATGTGATTTCTTCTTTGTTACTTTTTTCAAAGTCGCTTACATTAAAATATCCATACAAATTAATTTAGTCATGCTTTATGTGTATGTGCTTGTTTGTGTATATACATTTGTATAACATGGAAGTATACATGTGTATAACATGATACTGTGTGTGTTCTCAGAACTATACGCCAGTAATGAACAGTGCTCCTCCTGGGCCTGAACCCACAGGGATGAATATGAATGAATTGCCGCCAACTGCACCACTGCTCACACCTCAGCCTGAGGTAACACCTCATATTTTTCTACCCTTGTTAAATCATTAAAAGGGTCATATGATAGTATTTATTGTTTTGTTTTTTCTATTAACATCTGCCTGTGAGTAAACTTTTCTGGGGCCATATTTTAGGTTTTGCTTTGGTTTCCAATACAGTTTTTAACTGTCCAGGCCTACAGCAACAGCCTCTTCATGTTACATTTTGACATTTTTAAAACAAATTGCAGAAAATGTGCCACACATTGCTGAAAATGAATGTTAGAAAAAGTAAAGCTTTATGCCTTTTGACACATTTCATATTCCCAATGTCTCTCTGTCTCACACTCTTACCTGTCTTTTTCTAGTCGCAGCCGTCTGTTATGAGCAGCATTTCCACGGATATCCTTAACTCCAGTGACTCTGGTGTCCAGTTTGACATTAACAAAGGAAAGTCTTCTGGCAGCAACTTCCTGTAGTTGCTCCAAAATCCTGAATTATCACTGCAAGGGATATAGAAACAAACACTTAGCTGTTCAATACACTCATGCAAAATCCAAGCCTTAAAAAGAAGAAGAATTTTGGCCTGAGAACTAATAGGATCTTAAAACTACTACTTCAATAGTTTAGAATGAGACATATTCTTTCAGGACTCAGTCTAGTTTAAGTGCAATAGAAGGATATTACTTTTTTTTATATATTACATACTGTACCTCAAATCCCTGTTAACACTCTTTTCCAATGAAAAAAAAAGCTTTCAAAGAAGTGTGTCTTTTTTCTTACTTCATGTCACTCTCTTGCTGCTCTAGTCGCAGTAGAAAAAGCTGTTGAATCATACCAATTAAAAAAAAAGCTACCTCCATATTTTCAGCAAAATGTTTTCATATGATGCAGTCTCATGATATTTGGACAATCGAGTAAGGATTCACCCTCTGAATGTTTTCAGCTACACCCATTGTTGATAGATGTGTATATTGAAATAAAAATACCAAGCAATATCCATAAACAAACACTAGTTATGGCCTGTCCTGAAGTTCAGTTTTAAGGTAGCGCTGAGCCACCATTTTCACTTGATCTAATACCTCCATCTGTCAAGCTAAAGAGGCTATATTCTATACTTTTGTGTAGAACTACATGTAATAAGCCATTATTTTATTGTACAATGTTGTTGTGTAGATGTCCATACACTATTGACAGTAGTGTATTTACTTTTTTGTCTACTTTTATGTACAATATATGCTTACCTCAGTCTCCTGAGCGGTGTAGAGATGTGCAACAACAAAAAACCTGTAACCTGAGAAAACTAAAATTTACAATTTGATTTGTTTACCTGCTTAAACAGCATCATGTAAACCCCAGGAATCTTGACACATGTGTGAAACAATTACAGGATTTATGGCTAATTTGGTTAAATACATATAATGCATGTAAGTGAATTTAAATGCATTAACATAGTGTTTCAGTGAAGTTTCTCAACTACTATGCCAGTAGCTGCATTTCTTTAGGGCATTTTCATAGTGCTGCTAGTTAGCTGGAATAAAACAACAAATGCTGCAAACAAAACATTTATACTTGAATCTTGATATGTGTAAAATATTAGTGACATTTTATATTATGATTCATGTTGCAGCTGAATATAGATGCCTTATTTCAACTGCCCTTCATATCAAAATGTATATCAAGACAATAAAATGGCCTACCATTGTTCTTTAATAAGACAAAATACTGCTATCAATTTCTGCACCAGGATTGTATTTACTGTTACTATGTTTTTTTTAATTTTTGTCCGACATACCTATAGTGCCAACTGGCAATGTAATTTCCCTAGTTATAAATTGCACTATGGACAGATTAAATGTAATTTGTTGTTACACTTTGAACTATAATAAGAAGAATGACAATAAACATAATTATCATAATCAGTCTTCATGTTATTTTTAATGTCTGTACATAGTCAGAATCATGCATCTTTAGGATTTTATCAAAACAGACATTGCAACCAGTAAGGTTTCAGTAATTTATCTGTAACACAAAAGATTCCACTGGATTCAAGTGGATATACAGAATTGGGTTTTAAAAAATAAAAATAAAGAAAAAACATCTCCAATAAAATAAATAAAATGGTGGAGATTCTGGACCTTGCGCAGAGGATTTACATCTGCATAAGACTGAATGC